CTACCAAAAGTGTCCTCAAAAGGTTTGTTTTGTCTGCAGTCACTTGTCGTGACTTGTAACTGACACCCCGCAGATGCTACAGTACTACGAAAGCCACCTTGTCTTCACACATACCAGTGACGAACCTCCAAATGGTAACAATGATACCACAGATGCCATGGAGACAGACTACTAACTCGCTTCAAGACGAATAGAATACGCAACCCAGTAGCGTGCTCCCGCTGAGCCGCCATACTGCGCCGTCTCTTCACCTTGCTCCAAAGATGCGTCTCGAGGACATGCTTCCAAAACCCAATTTTCCAACTGTGGCTGTTGCCCAACTCGAACAAGAGATTAAATCACCCACCGTATCTCCGATTACCCCCGTGGAAAGAGTCGATTCTTCCGGCCTACCTCTCGACGACTATTTTTCCCTTACTGAACCTGCACACAAGGTACAATTCTGGAAAATGTAACTTGGCTTCCATTTGGGAAGTGTCGGGACGGTGCGAGACGTATAGAGCAAGTCGTCACATGTCATTTTCTTTGCATCGCGGCAGACAAGAAAAAAAGCTTTTCTTGTATGTATGTGAATCTGGGAACGGCGCTTTCTGGATATCTCACTTTTGATGGGTTCAGGGTTTTTTTCTCTTTCTGCACTTGTAGTTCCATCAATACCGAGAATGGACTTTCCAAATGCGGTCTCAACGTATTTCATACACCCTCTGATTTCATCCTACACTAGAAAGCGATTGGAACTATGAATCTATTAACAGATGACATCGCGCTCCATGACCAGATTTCAAAGGCCGAAATGACCGTGATTGTTGATTATATGAAACATGTTCGGAAAGCACAAACCTCACTATTCCCATCTTAACTCACTCAAAATCTCTCCTTAACATGTCAAAAATATTCATTTCATCTCAACTCTCTCATCATCACATCCATACAAACATTGTTTCGTTACGGGTATATCCCCTGAGGCCTTTCCCCACCCTCAATCTCATTATCTCCCTTTCCATTCAAATCCAAAAGGCAAGAAAAAACTCCAGTCGCATATAGCGTACCTGTACCCAAATCCAGAGAAAAAAACGCCCAAATCCCATGCTAGAATGCCAAAATGTGTATACAAAAAACATCATCCCCTTTTGCACATCCCTTTCATCCCTCATATAAACCCATCTTTCGTTGTTGTTGTTTTGCTCGTAAAAAACCGTAATCGCACTGCATCCCAGTCCCATGTCGCATCGCGCGTACACCTCTACCCCAACGCATACGGGAAGGAGCCCCGTACACAGGAGTTTCGCTGGGGCGGAGAAGGGAAAAGAAACCTCCTTTTGAAAGGTCGGAAATCCTGATGGATGAAGAGACGTTTATACATTCTCAGTCATATCGGAAACCGACGACGCGGTACCACCAACCGCCATGCGCGTCTGCAGATAGTAGATACCATATGCGATAGCAGCGATAAGAATGAAGAGGATGAGAATGATGAGGAAGATGACAATGTTGCGCTGCATATTGGCGGTTGTGTCGATTTAAATCTCTTAGGTTTGATGTTTATAAATCTCTTTTACTTCGATCTCGTCGGTGTAGTTGGAGACGGGTTTGAAATAGAGGCGGTGTAAACGTAGGATAACTAACTGCATATTAGCCAAACGCGCTCAAGGAAGAAGATACTAGTAGTATCAAAAGTAAAAAGATGTGCGCACTGCTTTGTTTTCTTATATCGCGCGCGATAATGCAATTCTCTCAGACGGTATGTATAGGAGCGGAGGATGGAGACGAAGTTGAGAATAAGAATGCTCAAAGATACAAAATGTATATTTTGTTCAAGAAACGACTGCAGAAATGCGGTCTGGTAGCTAGTTTTGTACAAGACGTGGCTGGGCCCGGGGGGTGCGTGCGTTGCATACCCCGAGGGGTGGTTGGGCGGTCATGGCTCGCAGAGGGGCTGGGGACAAACTTGCGTGGCTGGCGTTTTTGCCCACCGCCCCTCCCCGCTCGGGAAGTGGGAATTCAGCGAGGCTGGATTCGAAACTTGGTGGAATTAAAAAGGGGGCGGATGGTGGGAGCGGTGGGTGACGTGCTAGAAGCAAGACGTGGCACTTGGTTTTTTCCTCCAAGGCGGTAGTCAGGAACGGGGCGGGCGCGTGGGAGTGGGGTGCGGGAGTGATGCGCAGTCACGTGTGATGGGCTTGGCGCGTTGGATGCAAGGTACCCGTTTTTGGAGTGCGAGCATGAGACACATTGACGTAGCGGCTATGAGCCTTCGTGATGCACAGGATTCCAATGCATCCATGGTCAATTCTTGTTGAAAGAGGATATCATTTTATACCAGCATTCTCGTTACTATGATCAAAATCCAATAAATTGCAACAAGAGGGTATACATACGGCCACTTGCACCATTGCATCCACCACTCTGTCTCCCTCTCTCCACCATATCATATAAAAGGTAATAACAGCCACCTTCACATTCCCCAATTCCACCAAATAAACACCACCAACTCCATCATTTTCACAGCCATAGTCTCCATCTTAACCACCATCTAAAAGAAACCCTAAAATATATAACCGCCAAGCCTACTGATAGAACTTCCATTCTACCTTCTTGCACTCCCACTCCCTCTTCAAACTCTCTATCCTATCCGTCACCCACCCGCTCGTCCACGGCCCATCCCCAGTCGACCCACCCAGCCGAATCACCTTGCTGAGATGGCACTCTCCGTCGCCGTGAGTGGAGTACCGCCATTGCAAACAATTCTCGATTTGCTCGCACGTCTTCTGGCACGCCTCGGGGCTATCTGCAGCATTGGGGTGTTTATCGGCCAGCTTGTCCCAGTTGGGAGGTTCCTTCTTGTCGCCTTCTTTCTTCTTGTCGTCTCGTTTTTGCGGGTGAGTAGTATGTGTGCCGGCGGTTTGGAGGATGTCGTCTTTATGGTCGTTCATTAGGTGTTCTGGGTCTGTTTCTTTGTCTTTGTCTGGATGTTCTGGTTTCACGGCGCCGGGTAGGTCGGGCTCCCGGTCTGGTTCACGTTCGGATTCCTTCAGTGCTTCCTGCTTCTTTCTCTCTTCTTCCTCTTGGTTTTGCTTAGCCTTTTGGGCTTCGTCTTTGATTTGTTGCTGCCTCCCTTCCGGTGCGACAATCTTGGCGTCCTGGCTCATGTTATCCCAGCCTTCCTTGCGCGCTTCGACGTGCGGCGCGATATAATCGTGGTATGCGTCGCGGAACAGATATGGTGTTTTCCAGCCCTTGGCGCTGGTCCACTCCTTTTCCATTTCCCATTGCCGAGCGAGTTGGTCGCCGCTGACTTTGTACCATGAGACGGCTGGTGCGCACCAGTGTCTCTTTGTGTAGTCGAGACTGTAGGGATGCTCGGATTGGAGAAGAGGCCAGGACGAGTACAGTTCGACGTGTGCGTCTGCCATAGCTCTTGACAACATCAAGTCTCCGCAGCATTCTTTGTCAACGGCCGGCTCCCACTTGCGAATGTATTGCTCGTCGTAAGATTTTGCAAATCTCCGCAGGGCACCTTGAGACAATAGGATGCCTGGTCCACGTTGGGCCGATTGCGTTCCAGAAATGTAAGCAGGGGCTCCGCTGTAGTAGGGTATCCGGTAGTCCAGTCTGGCGATCCATTGCAATAAATTGGTCCAGCTCAGGGCCGTCTCTTCCTCGAGGAAGACAAGGAACCTGGCGTGGGGGTTCATGTGGTACGCCTGGTATACCATTGGCAGCATCTTCCACTTATCCAATTGATCGAGCTTCGCCGCATCGGGCTTGTGTTGGGCGTCCGCGCGCATGATTCGGTATTCGTGGAATTCGTCGTGCGAAAACTTGATGTCGTGGCTGACAGCCTTGAGCGCATCGTGTACTTTGTGACCCTCGAACTCGCCCTCGTGGTCGCTGAAGATGGCAAAGGTAGGTACGCAGGAAATGAAGGTACGGAGGTGCGCGTTCAGCTTTTCAATACTAGCCTTGGATGTCTTCAGCACCACCATGACATCTTGCGCCATTGCAAGGTTCTGACAGTGTTCTTCTACGGCTTGTGTTGAGGGAGGGGCGACAGCAGCCGGAGTAGGTTCATTGTCCGAGTTGTCTGCAGCGGCGCTCTTGTGGGCGGCAATTGTATGGGTGAGAAGCGTAGAGGGTGTAGCAATGCCATTATTCGCATCCTCCCATCTCCCACCGTCTTCTTCATATTCGGCCACGCCCGTCGTGGTAGGGGAAGGGGCAGCCGCATGACCCTTTTCGCCCGGTTTGTTGTGAGCATTTGCGGGTGTCTCGACGGCGGGTGGCGGAATTATCGGGTCGGTATGGACATTCTTGTGTTCATAGTGATCTATAACAGGCACTTCTGGCTGAGCGTTTTGAGCAGGAAGCCCGAATGACCAGAAGAAAGTTAGGAGCGAGAAGGCGATTACGACGATGGCGAGCCGGGAGGGGGTGACGGTCGGCATGGCGAGGACAACGGCTCAATGGCCAGGTTTGGAGTGGTTGATTTTACAGAGAAACAACTTCAATACATCCGATTACTGTTGTCGCCTCAGGGTACAGATAGGGGCATTCTGGCGGTCGTGGTCGCAGAAGTCGCATGCCCCTCTGAACAATGGGTACTGGGACGGGTGCAAGAGGCGGTGCCTAGTAGGCCGCTCGCCCCCTTGGCTGTGGCGCTCGGTCGCGATGGTGCGCCTACACCGTGTCCGCTCAAAAAGGCCCGGCTCTCGTATACTGTCAGAAAACACTCGGCCCCAGTAGCTTCGTCTTGCTTGTGTCGAGCGTGCCTAGAACAAAGCAAATAACACTCGTGCACCGCGCGGATTCCAGGGGCACAGCATGCGTACTAGCTACGGTTGGGCTTTGACACATCATTTCTCTCTACTAACTATGTACAACCATCTTGCCCCTTCACCGTGACCAGAAGTCATCTGCTGGGATAAACATCGCTATCAATGTCGGCCTCTGCTTGTCAAAAAAAACTCTAATCACTTCACTATGTGATTACCACCTATCCCCTACTCGTCATCCCACACAAACTCACCCGCCATCCACAACCTCATCACCCAACACGCAACCAGCAGATCGCTCTTCCTCTGGTCCCTTCGGACTGCATCTGTCATCTCCAGCGCCCTACTTTCCCTCTCTGATCCTGCACCCTTCCACCTAGCCAGCCCATCCCAACCCCAACTCCCCGCCCTCCCACTCTCTTCCCGCCCAACAACTACGCCCTCCGCATCCTCCCATACGCCCTTTTTGATGCAGAACAAAAGATGCTTCTCCGGCTCGCAACTGCCCCTGTAGTCACACCGAGAATGCCGCGCCCGGCACCTGGTGACGTGCCAGATGCGTGTCCATTGCCCGCCCCACAGCGTCTTTCCACTCGTAAGCTGGATGCTACCCTTCAGCGCACTTTCGGCCCGTCCCTTCATGTCAAAGTCGGAAATCGTGTATAACGTCCCCTCTTCATCGTAGCGGATGCGCCGATCTTGCGCTGCGAAGATTGCGGGCACCGAACAGGACCGTGTTTCGTGCGTTTGTATGCGGCGGATGTTGAGGAGGGTTGATGGGCCGCTGCTTCGGTCTAGGGTTTGTTGTAGTTGGTATTGTGGTAGGTTTCGTGATTGCGTCTCGTATATGAAGGGGGCTTGGAGCCTTAGTGTTCTTGATTGATCGTCTAGAGGTAGTAGGCCTGGGAGTATGCTTTCAAGCCTCTCTGATGTGGTTCCGGTAGATCGTGGGATGCGCTCAGGAGCTGGAAAGGTCTTTGATTTGATCATCTGGCGACGGGTTGGTGCTATTACTCGTGGTACGGAGGTTTCCGGAGTGTAGGGTGAAGGGCTGCTGTTCGGGCGTGTGGAATTTGACCATGTGCTGGTGGGCGATAAAGCTTCGTCTGAGTATGTCTCTTCGCTCGTCGCACTTGCTCTCCGCAGAGCATCAAAAGGGTCCTTCTCTTCGGCGTAGACATTACTCTTGGACGTGGTGGGGTATGGCGAAAGCGCGATGCTTTCACTACGCGGTGCAGAGTAATTCGGCAGCCTGAACATCTTGCAACTTTTCGATATAGTACAGAGCAGTGACTCAGAATACAACGCAAGGAAGCCACCCATCTATAAACCCATCTCCTTTACGTGGTCGTCCCGCAACCCCGGATGTATCAGCCACCACGTTCCCTTCTAAGCCACCTACTTTGAGCCATTTACTCTCGCCGCGAGGACCACATCGTGGCCCAGTCAGAACCTTGAACCAAACAAGCCTCAGGGTCTTGTACAGAGCATTCAAGGCGATTGGGCGACTTGTCGCGGATCTTGCGGATTCAGGCCATCAGTAAGCGCATGAATAAGCGCTCGACATGACCAAATGTACGCGAGGTTATCGGCCAAGATACACCAACATCTCATCATGTACACTAGAGCGCTTGGGAGATTGTGATTGGATTGGATGCGAGAGTTCAACGGTGTGCGCGGGTGTTCTACGCGAAATGGTAGCTTTACGAACGTGGCCCACTTGGTGGCTGTTATGTCGTTTAGAGCACTGTTAGCTGTATTGGTAGAAGTTGACGGGTCCTTGGAAGCTGACGAGTCGTCTCTTTATTTCCATGGATATAAGCTCATGTCGTATGAGGCTCTGCTGCTGTGGTCTCATGTTTGAAATTTTTCGCTTGCTGACCGAGCAGCTATTGGGTAGGAAGAAAGAATTGTAAGGGACCGAAAATTAGAGCATCTTGGAGTTAGGAAGAAGGGTTTCCAAAAATAAACTACCTAAACACACAAGTCCGTAGAGCTCAAAGACAAAACCTTGAATCGAATTTGGTTTATTTAACTCAATCAAGTACTGCCATTCATAAACCGCAAACATAGGACCACTTTTAAGTACCTCTTCTCACCTTCCCAATCCCCCATCAAACAATCGGCGCAAAAAAGTTAAACTTCCCAAACGGATCATACTCCCTCTTTAACCCCCTCAACCTCTCCAACCTCCACTCCTCAGGCCCATACAGTTCCTCAACCGTCTCATCCCCCCTCGCATAATTAACATACGCCTTCCTCGGCTCCCCCGTCCCCTTGGCCATCACATCCCGGATCCTCCCCTCAACCTCCCACGCCTCAGCATCCAGACTCTCATTCCGCTCATACGTCATAAACGGCGAAAGCAGCAACTGGCCCTCACGGTTGGGATACGCGGTGCTATCGCTTGGTATAGCGCCCACGCGGTTCGTTGCGTAGCCTTCGAGAAGAACAACGGTTTGGTTGAGTGAGGCCGGGAGGGAGGCCATTATGATGAGGACTTCACGGAGGGAAGGGGGGTCGTAGGTGGTTGCTGAGACGGGGACGACAGAGCGGGTAAGACCTTTTTCGCAGGATGTACCGGTTCGGTCCGCGCCTGTGAAGCGACTTACGCCTGCGAGGTCGGTTTGGCCGGATGTGCTAGTGGCGGGCGACAGAGCGTATAGGGGTTCAGTGTATTGAGCTGGGATGCTGGTACCTTGGTAGATTACGAAAACAACGACGACGGGCTGGGAGAGTTAGAATTTATCGACTTAGTGGGGAAGGGAGGGCGGCGTGCTCACATTATTTGTATCGATCTTTGGGTCGAAGTAGAACATTATGTAGTGTTCTAGTTCGACTGATCTGTTGGGACTTTCTAACCAGGTATTCACGATACCAACGATGCTTTCCATTTTATCATGGGTGAAGGATAATACATCGACGGCCCAATTGTCAAGACTTGGCTCCCGGTCATAGATTTTGATCTCAGCTTGAGTTACAATGCCAAAGTTGTGGCCAGCGCCGCGGATAGCCCAGAACAAGTCAGGATTGCTCTCTTCGCTCACAGTGATAGCGGTACCATTGGCAAGCACCATACGTGCAGAGACGAGCTGGTCGGCTGCGAGTCCGTACCGGCCTTGGTTCCAGCCGTGTCCGCCACCGAGAATAGGAGAAATGTAGCCAACGCAGGCGCACGCTGTGGTCATGGTTTGCTTCCCGTGAGCCCACAAGTAGTCAAGGACATCTCCGTTGAGGATGCCACCTCCGACGAGAGCAGTGTCACCATTCTCCGTAATCGATATATCCTTCATACCACGCATCAAGATGCCGACGGCATGCTCGACATTGTTAAGGTACGCTGTAATCGCATGGCCCCCTGAGATAGCGTGGAAAGACTTGTTGTTCGCATTGGCGTACCATATCTAGTCGACTGTAAGCTCGAAAATATAATATCAAAAGCAAAAAGTCATCTAACCGTCTCTTGTACATCTGCCTCGGTTGCAACTTTGACAATTATGTCGTATTGTGGGGTCTGCCCAGCGCCCCACCGTAGCGTTGCATTAGTATATTCTTCTGACCCAGGAAAATAGATTTGGGCTGTGGGGCTCAGTGAGGCCACAAATTCTCGTAGAGAGTGAGCCGATGACGGAGGTGTTGCTGAAACGAGGCTGACTGTATAGACAGTCCAAGCCCACAAAAATCTGCACAACATGTCTGCCCAGGCAGAAGATTAAGCTGTAGACACTTTGGATATGTAACTCTGCTCCTTGGAAAAACTTTTCTTGTTTTGTTTTCTCTATTTAATGGTGGGAGCTGGTGTCTTTTCCTGTGTCGCCGTTCGTATCCCGTTCCCAGAGTGTCAGAGGAAAAACAAACCACAAGTCATATGTCCATCACTTTGGTACTCCTAATGCACGAATAGCAAGTTAGAAGAAAAAGCATTCACCCCATGGCATTAAGAGCGAAATTGAACCGAATAGCCGTTCCCATTGTGCTTATCATAAATGCCGGGTGCACCGGATCGCCGCGGTGTTGTAGCGCTAACACATGACTACAGCGATCAAACTGATTGCCGTTTGCCAGCGAAAGACTAATGTTGGACTAAGAACATTCGAAAGCGAGATACCTTCCAGAATCATTGATGAGAGGGATGATCTCAAGTGAAGATCTCGAATGAACGCCACTAGAACGATTGTCTGGTTCGATGTCAAGGATAAGCGAGAAGTAGCAGCATCTAGTACACACCCGGGCCGTAAGTTAGAAAGCCACTGGCGAGCTGCGGTTCCGTCGTTCTGATGCGGGGATCGCCTTGTTCTGACGAACTCTTATTTACGGCCCGATTGCATGCGCTACTTACTGGGAATGGGTAAGAGATCAGCCTCGCAGCCGGGGAACAAGAGAGACGCGGTTGTCTGTTCCGTTCGTTGGTTTTTATCAAGCCATGGTAGTAGTGCTGGTTAGTAGGATGGCAAAGCTGGGGCGAACCGTCCTGGGCAGATGTGGACCTTGTGATAACAAAAAGGTTATCTGTGTTCTTCTTTGGTCTGCCTCACTATTGAGTCAAGCCCCCGATATACCTCGGAGCCCGTGCTGCTCGGAGCCACGCTATTGTCAGAGAGGCTTTCTCAAAACCTTGAAAACCTCAGCTGATATTTAGGCTTACGGATTCATGATGTGATTCTAAGTAATATTCGCTGCCGTCGTCAGTCGACATGTGTCATGATATACACACATGGAGGTGTCTGAGATTGTGAACCTTATGGCCACGAGAACGACAGCATCCTTGTTGTGACAGGTTCGGAATATTTGCCAAAAGCTATGGCATTCATACCATGCATCGCCGATCCGGCTCGCTTCTTAACTCTCCGCCCCGAGTGTCCATGCTCAGGGTCGGAGGTTTTGGTAGCGAGTCTTATCCCAGCTCCGGCTCTATCATCAAAATGATTGTAGTTGCTGTATAGTACGATACTCTCCTGGCATCGTAGGCCCAAAATGAACCCGGATATGGATCGCGCAGGGACATTGTCACCGGCCTCCCCACGGACTTAGCATTACGTATACGTAGATTTGACCATGTACTTATTTAAGCGACGAACGGCTTGCTACAGACCCTAGTTTTGCGTGTCGCGCATTGAATACGAGATGCCAATGTAACACAACGGGCTCGTCCGTACCTGCTTCCGGCTTTCCTGCCTCGCAAGTTTCTTGGTATTTTCCTTGTATACGGGGAATCTTCAGAATGAATCATTTCGCATTGGTACGCTGTCGTTCGCTCCTGGGCATAAGACGGACAGACAAGCCGGATTAAGATACCCGGACGAGTTCCATCTGTCGCCCAAATCCACGCAAAACCAGTGGACGATGTCGACACTCCGCCACGTAATCCATTTATTGAGACACTGAACTTTTCTCAACCCGCGTCATCGAGTTGAGGCCATTGGTCGGGGCGAGGCGTCCAAACTGACTCGTCCAATGCAGGTACGCACCACCACCGGTTTTGCCTTTCGGACCGAGAGGACAAAAAATGTTTAGGCGCTTTACGCCTACGGAAACAATAACAGCAAAGGCGTGCGTACTAGACCTCTCCTGGATAATACAACGTGTGTTGGAAGTCGAATATTCAATTGCCGAGCTGAAAAGACTGGCGTTCTTGTAAGAGCAAGTGAGCCGCGAGGTGCGAGGCATGTGCAAGCGTGCATGGGTGCATGTGGCCAGTGGGAAGATGGTGTCCGGGCGGAGGTAAGAGATAAGATATGGAATATTACATACACCCGAGGGATAAATGTCTGCAAATTCTATTCTGATACTCCAAGCATAAGGGCGCTAAGAATGGTAAGCAAGGGTTTGTTGGGTATACGTACATATAGATTTGTTGCTTAATGTGACCCCGTGGATTTGGTGGTGGTGATGATATTCGCTCCATATGCCCGTGCCTCGCCATCATGCGCTACGCATGGGTTGCCATTCTACAGTCTCCATACATCTTCATTGGCTGCTGTCGCGTCGCATGTGGAACTCGTCCTGTGATCACCAATTCTCCTTTCTCATGCATGATAGCCGTGTACGCAGCCCGACGGACCCGTTGCCTGCATGAGTCGGGCTGCCTGCCGCCGCTGTCAAACTCCTGCCAAACCCATCCATCCTCTCGGTGCGTCTGTACTTAGTCTGAGGATACGGATCGACTGACGACGGTAATTGCGATCTACTCGAGGACCGTACCGGTAGGTGCTGGAATGTGAAACTTGGGGACACTAGCATTTCCTAGTCTGTCCATTATAAAAATGCGGAGCTCTTCCCGTCATCGAGACCCTTTGTTCCAGACGGTCCGTTTCCCCACTATACTAGTCTGGGAACTAACCGCAGCGAACACACTACAAGCAAAGCCATTTACACAACGTGTGCCCCCTTTACCGAGCGAACAAGGCTCCTAAATCAAGCGTAAACCCACGCGGCACAGGCCGTACCTGCTCTCTTAGTTCCCATCATCTTGGCACTTGACCGCCGTTTTGATCATATCTCTTGCCCTGTTGTTGTATACTTGCTTCCCAAGTTCCCGCCTCCCCTACATAACCTTTCTACCATTACTTCGGAAACTACTCATCGAAAGAGCTCAAAAAATGTCGAGAATCGCAGTTGTCTGGTCAGGTTTAAACGACGATGACGAGGAAGCGCAATCCTGGTACGAAAACAGGCATGTGCCTGCTACTATTGCGAAGATTGAATCTTCAGCGCGCACCGCAGAGCAAACTCCCGAGAATCCGTTCCAAGAAGTGAAAGAGGTCAACGGCAAGCACATGACCATTTACGACTTGCCTGAGGAAGAGTCGATAGAAGATTTCGAGGCGAAGATTGGCCCGACGTTGGGCGACGTTCCAGTCGGCGCACGCTTGAACACTCGATCTTACAAAGAATATTTCAAGATTCACGGCGACGAATGGAGAGACGGTATGTTTGCTCCACAGGCTCGCCCAAACAAAGCGGTACTATGAAAGCTGACACCCTACAACAGACCCTCGCGATGTTCGAATGTGGGCCATAGTCCTTTGGCAGCCGAAACCAGAAGTTTACGACGAATTCATAGAATGGTTCATAGACCACTTCATCCCCGGAATGCTCGACAGCCCCGAATTACTGCGCACGCGCGTATTTACACTCGAGCATGCAACGAATGTCCGAGCGCAAAAGTACGAACCAGTAGACAAAGACTCTCTCCTGAGATTTTTGACCATCTGGGAGTTTGACAGTGAAGAATTCCCATGGGAAATCCTGGTTTATCTCGGCAGTTCAGAGAAGTGGCGATATTACATGGAAGGCGGGCTGGTGGTATGTTGCAAATATTACAGGAAAGTGAAGATGCGAAATTGCTAACGTTTCAATACAGGATTGGGAGATTGCGCAATACATGGTAAAGAACAACTATCCTGGAACGGAAGAAGAAAAAGATTCTGCGATAGCGAGCCCAGGAGTGCCCTGCCCGTAGTCGCTAGAGAATCGTAAAACAAGCATTCTTTCGGAGGCTGATATTGCATAGGAATATAGGGACGGGGACGAGGACGAGGACGACGAGTACCAAAGCGGGGACGAGGACAGATACAGCGAAGATCAAAATAGCGAGGACCAGGACAGGGACGAAGACAAGGACCATCGCAACGGCGTACACCAGGACAGTGACGAGGAAAAGGACCATCGAAATGGCGTAAACCATTTTAGCGAGGATGATGACATAGAAAGCGAACGAGGTTATACCGATCGATATGTGATAAGGTGACGAGCTGGATGAACGGACCGGCTGCCTGGGGTCGGAGCTTTAATCTTCTTTTTCCTTTCAGTACCATTATCTTTTCTGTGTATGTATACTTTGCGAGTTGTATGCATAGCGCAATACGTAACTGTCTAGTTCTTGAGTATGTTCCTCCTGCTTGGAATTTGCGAAGGGGCACTGGGTATACTTGTTGTTTTTGTGGAGCAGTCTTCCAGCTTACTAGCATGTGTGCACATGTATTTAGAGCGAAGGATTGGTGGTCTCGTATGAACGTTATGTATGGACGGGTAAAAGGTTCAATTCTGGATTGGCCTCGTTTCGAAAAGTATGGGGCCCAGTTGAATGAGTTGGGTCATGACGATATGCTGCAGGCGTATACTTGATTAATTTCGATGTTGGATCCGAAATGTTTGATTTTAACAACATTGAGTGATGTTGAGCTGGTTGGAATGTTCCAGATGATGCTTTAGCCCGCCTCGGGATGCATGATGACGGGCATTTGACGCACAGCGATCACCCATGCAGGCACCCTGTATGTGGCTCCACACTGCTTGTGTAGAACCGACGCCGAAAGGAGATTTGCCGACTCTTGCCCCGTCATACCAGGTTGGATAAATGGACTATCGGACCCGTCCAAAACAACGGACCCCTGTGACAGTTGATATCCACCGTTACTTTCTTCTGTCTCAATATTGTTACAAGCTACAATGGAACGAGCATCCATACCAACGATTTGGAGCACCGAATGCTTTCGTATTGCAGGTTTCCGACTAGGCTGTTTTCCAGGAACAGGGAGCGCGTTCGACTGTTGGGCCTCTGGCTCACATCGAGCGGGTTGGTCCTTTAGGCAAAGTCCTTTGCGATCTTCAAGATCCCTCTGCTGGCCCACGCTTCGAGTAGAACTGGGACACGATTTACCAGTTCTTATAACACGATGCAGGCCATATAGAATACGTCGTAGAATCTGAATCATTTTAATTCTCTGACGTGGAATAGACTCCCTGTTCAATGAGGTACTGGGAACTGTGCGAATGCTGCAGAATCTGTCCCACACTGTTGTTGAAATGCTTTTTAGGCATGGTCTTGCTTTTCCCTAGCCCCTGTTCCGTCTGGGGTTCTCGAATCGTTCGCCTCAAACTCTAACCCCTGTCACAATTAACTGTTTTCGGTACACTGATGAAGCTTACTCTCTTGTAGTCATCAAGATCGGCGTGTTCCACGTTCACGTAGTGACGTATTTTGTGGCCTACACAGGTTCGTATCTGGTACCCAGATTTGTAGACGAACAATCGACCTTTGTTTTCACTCTTATGTCTACTCGGTACGCAAAACATCGTGAGTGTGCGGCATCAGTGTTCGCAGGCTCCTTTGGGTTGAGGGATAGGAGAACCCTGAAAGCACCTCGCACGCTGCATTTCGCGAGAGCTTCGAATACTAAAGACATTTTAAGTAAATAAGAGCCAGCAAGAAAGATGCTAATAGTATGGGGTTGCTTACCATGTGGATGCCTGCTAGCCTCCGTACGTATTTGGGATGCGCGTGGTTACTGCAATGGCAACCGAAAATACAAATACAATAATGTTTGTTTTAAACCCGCCTGTGAGAAGCCAGTAAGAACATTGCCGTGTCTCGGAAGAAACCACTGGCGCTTGGTATACCTGGTTCCCTAGTGCTGTTCTCAAGTCAATATGACAAGGAAACTCGACTGAAAGAAGACGGTCGCATCTTCTGTTACGTGCAACAGCGTAACAGCTTCATTACTTGAGTCAAGGAAGAGATCAATATGAGTGCAGCCCATGTGGGTGCAGTAGTTCCTCAGAATATTCCAACAAAAAATCATGTGCAACGACTGGGGTAAAAGGGTCAGAAGTACATGGTACACTGATTTCGAGAACTTAGGAGAAGTGTTCTAAGAGCGATGTTGTCGTTCCGTACGTTGATACCCCACTTCGTACGTCATAAAAAATCATGTTGTACTAATCCCCAGCACATGATAGGCTTGCCCAGATTTAGGGTTCCCAGGCTCATTCCAACAAGCGATGAAAACCCTACTCAGCTTCATGCTTACTGAAGCCAGTGATGCATTCAGGCGTGGGCAGTATGAGAGATGTCGCCTAGGCTCCACGGTCAATTAACGGTCCTTAGGGAGCACGCAGATATCTATGATACCAAGCCAGAAAAACGAAAACAAAAACAAAAGGAACAATCATTGATGTACTATTCTCGATGGTCGAGTGATATACTACTCTTCGAATCGCAGTAGCATGAAATTGGATACAGTGTAAGATTGTAAATTCATACTAACGAATGAAACCTCTCACGGTCGGACACCGAAGCGCATCGCACTCAGCTGCCTCCCACCCAGCTCAAAGTCTTTTGACTCTCGCAGCAACATAGTATTTGCGCATAGTTTCTTCGCAGCTAACATGCATGTTCGACGCAGACCCCAGTAAATGAGCGACGATACTAGTTGAGCGAAACCCCCAAATCATCGTACGAGCAGGTCTACTACTTTCAGCCTACCCAATCTCGTTAAATGTTTGCATTACTCCTCCGGGTCACGGCCACCACGCTTCCTCATTTCCTCCAGGTACTCTTCTTCGGTCTCAAGATCGAACGGTACAGGTCTTGTGATGGGGTTAATTGAAGTCTTGTGTTCTTCAAGCTGTTTAAGTCGTCGAGCAGTTTCTGGCTTGGTAGTGTTGACGCTGTAGAGCTTGACGCGGCTATTGAATGTGTTAGTGTGATAATCTCGAAAACTAGCAACGAGGTTCTTGGGGGGATGACCTACTGGCAAGAGGATGTCACATGAAGATCCCAGTTCCTATCCAAGGTCAGTGTGATTCGAGGGCGGTGGACTGGGCAATGCTTACCATGCGCTTCGTACGAATGTTGGTTGGGTCTAGAGTTCGTGTCAGCAAATGACCTTTCCGCAGCAGCAGAAAAAAGCGCTATCCGATATCGGTAGACGCATGTTTTGCAAGTCACTTACGTTTAAAGCATCATCCCAGCAACGCACACAAAACTCGCTGATATATTGTTAGTTTAGGCGACCAAGCACATAGGGATTGAAGAACTTACAGCCAGCCTTCTGCATCGACAGGTACATCCATCCACCAGGTGCGCCAGGCATGGAAGTACTTTTTGCTCATATTTTCATATGGGACTTCATACCAAACACCACCTCCATCGTTGCTGACTTCGACTCGCTCCGGCCAGCCGCTACCACTATATGCCCAGCCAGTCATGCGGATCTTTCCGTCATGGACAATGACATCTTTGTCGACTGGTGTCATAATAGCGCTGGATACTGGCATAGTCTGAATGCTGAAGCCATTGCTGTACGTTACGTTCTGCTTCCCCTTTTGAGGAGTGTAGTATAGGTATTCCTTCATCTGGACTGGGGCCAGGGACGGGTTCTCAATGACGTTGATGCGTGTTAGCCATTTACAGCTTCTTGCTCCAATGTAACCCATCACAACTGCACGGAGGGGTGCTCCGTGAATGGCAGGCAGTGGCTCCCCATTCATCTCCCAGGCAAGAATGACCTCATTGATGTTGACCTTGCGGGTTGGTACCGACACAGCGTAGTTGTAGACCTGTCCCTTCTTGAAGTATGTGTCGGCACCAAAGAACTCCACATGTTTTCCCTCTGGCTTTATACCACAGTATCTAAGGACCTTCTTCAGACTGACACCAACATAGCGGGCAGTACCAATGGCTCCCTCGCCCCAGGGTGCGTTGATGAGTTCGTCGCCGTCTCCGGGATAGTCGTGAATTTGTTCGATACGACGCGTACCACTGCATTGGAGGGTGATAACGGTATTCATGCGTGGAAATATGCTCTCGTCCTGAAGCTCCTTCAAGGTTATCTTCTTCGGCGTGTCGACCAGACCTTCAACTTCGAAGTAGTACTTCTCGGGATCAATCTCAGGGACACCACCATGGTTTCGAATGTAGTGGTCTTTGTTGTCGGTGATCTCGGTCTCGACTAATCGCTTTCGGGGTGGTTCGCCATTGTAAGGGAACTCCAAGACGTGCACCATGTCCTCGCTTTTTTCCTTCTTGACATAGTCCCATGAGATGGCTGGCAGGTCCTTTGTAGTCTTTCCCAGAGCATAGTGATAGTACTTCCAGCGCACACCCTCGAGCACAGGATTGGTCTTGGGGAGCGGGAGCAGCTGGAACTCTGGCGGTACGGGGAAATCATATTTCGCGAGGATCTCTGCTGCCTTTTTCTTCTTCTCAGGGTATCTCTCCCATTCAATGTAACCCTTCCATCCTTCTCGCTCTTCGGGAAAGTCGGGTTCCTCGGATGTCAAAAGCACAAAAGGCTCTGCGTGCGGTTCAGCGGGCGCCATTGTCAATGTACAAGGTGTGAAGATGGTAACGTTCAGAACTGCCCAGTATTAACCTGGGGAAACACCCACTAAGTACCGCGATACTGATAGCCCCGCCAGCTCGAGTACCACATGTCACAATAACAGGTTAATTGCTCATTAAGCGTGGGGCATGCCATTTTGTCACAGTGCTTGCTGCAGGTAACCCATGTATGGCGCTCGACTAGCAGATGGAATCTTTATGTGGGCGAATCAGAAGTTCAGTGACATTTGTAATGCAACATACGAAGCACACTTTTGATATACGACTGCGTCACGATGATGGGTACTAGGATAGCTGTCGTGCAGGGGTTGAGACATGTCAACCAATGATGCTGATCACTGTCAACCGAGTTAAGAGCGGAAGATATCTGAGGAGCATCCAATAAGCATGCCATTGCTGAATAAGAATTGACGAAGCTTGGTACGACGCCTTGTACGCGTTAAGCGGGGAGTAATTTCATGGGTAAGTAACGACATGTATGACGTAGTTGCTTGACGCTGTGCAAATACTCTAGTAGGGAGGTCCGTAGTATCAAAGCGGAGGAAATAACGAAACAGGTCTAGAAGAGAAAAGGAGATAAAACAAGAAACATCACGATGGCCGTTGGGGTTACGGCGCATATGGAATGGCAGTGGAAGAATTGGCACGGCAATGGCTCCCACACGTGTTTCTCGGCGACATGCATGACGCTAGTGCCGCTATGACTTCTTGCGAACATGGCCCGGCCGAAGGTTGAACACTACGGCGCTTGCTGTCGATTACAATTCGAACAGGAACTCCAAATACACAAGAGACTAAACTTCACAATATAGTGCTTACTCATAGCTTCTGCCCACGCTCAATGGTAAATTTCCTCAATGTTTCGAGGGTTGTTACTTGCATATTACCTTCCTGTTCTTCCAACTCATTTTACTGCAAGAAGGAATGAGTCTTCTCGTGATGATTTCTACAAAAGGCATGCTCCCACAGAATTCCAAATGTTCATCAGACCTGGTATCGACACAAGTCCCTTGAAATTACAGAGACAAAGCAGAGCAACCATGCCACACAGCCACGCACGCTAGCGCGTCCCTCTGAAGCTCAGATAGGGTGACAAACCGTTGCAATACGATGCAATACGCCCGTCTGATCAGATGACGCACTTACCGAATAGCAGACATTGTGAAAGATACCGCACATCTTCCTTTTGCTCTTCATCAAAACCTGATTAGTATCTACCAAAAGCCGTTGGCCAATGCGGTCTTACAAGCTGTTCTATCACACTAACATAAGGTGAATGTAGAAATATCACTGTAGATTCCTGCTCGTGTACTGTTTGTTCAGGCGGCATCTCCAAGGAAGTATGCCCGGCAGTTCCACCAAGGGCATCCCTTTCGGAACCGGACCGCGCCTAGGTCCCTCCCCCGGCAATGCGTCCAGTTTAGTGATGCTGCATTAGCTATCACAAACACATATGTGCTTTTACTGGCTCACGAAACTCCAATATTAAATCACCGCAGTCACAGGAACCAGGCATACAGCAAATCGTAGCAGCATACGAAGGAGATGGAATCAAGATTGGATACTGCGATAGTCACACGCCACATATTTCGCCAACAAGTATACAACAGATCCGATGTTCGAAGTAACATCAATAACAAAATCTTGAAATATAGCGTAGAGTACACACGAGAAGCAGTCAAGACTAGGAAATCCCTATGAATCACTCAACCCCCCAATCACAGCCTGTATATCAAAAAACCGTTGAGGATCTTGCTCACCTCCAACGACTCCCATAGGTGGGACTATAAAGACAACCTACCGCTTGTAGCCGATCTCGTGAATCACATGCAGGGGATATGACCTCCGATTTCATTTACTTCAAGGGCGGTCCTTTGCAAGTGAAAGAAGAGCAGAGTGAGCGGTGTAAAAGAATGAACACACCGTACGCAACGCCAACCTTTTAGTATTTATAAATTTTCCTTACCGCTTCTTTTGCACTTCATATTAGACTACAACTTGGGCCGTAAACACAGTCTTCATAGTTACACTATCCCACTTCTCAAGCAAAAAAAAAAAGGAATCACACTACAATGGCGGAGAATGCGCAAACCAGCCTAATGCGCAAAGCAAGAACTTCATCTTCTTTCAACCCCTTTGACCTCACATGTATAATCTGGGGCAGGTAAGTCTTCTCCTTCCCCTTCTCTCTTCATTCATCCCGTATAGAAAACTCCAACTAACCAACCCAACCCCTAGCCAATCCACCGTCCTCTCCCGCCGCCTATCCTTCACCCGCGTGGAAAAAGCCCTCGGAACCCACAACACGGCGCTCCTCCCTCAATGCTACGCCCACACCTCACGCGAAGCGCTCTTCGCCCAAGGCCTAGAAATGGGGAAGGCGTGTTTGGAAGATATGAAAGAGTACGAACATGAGCATTTTGTGTGGATTACGCCGAAGTATCGGCTTGTTAATGCTAGGTACGTTTACCCCTCATTATCCGTATCAGAAAAGGGGAAGGGGGAGGATAGAAGAGGGAAGGGAAAGGAGAAGGGAACGGTATAGGAGATGGTACTGATGGAAAACAGTCCCTTCGGTCACAAAGCCATACTCTTTGAACCAGCCATGCAACACAATGGCACCGCGGAGCAGCAATCCCAATGGCTGCCGCTCGCATGGGCAGGCAGGATTCTCGGGACGTATGCGCAGACGGAGTTGGGGCACGGATCGTTTGTGCGGGGTGTGGAGACGACGGCGACATTTGATACGAAGACAGACGAGTTCGTTGTTGATTCTCCTACTATTTCCTCGACCAAGTTCTGGCCTGCGGGGTTGGGCTTCTCGACTACACACGGGGCGGTGATGGCGCGACTGATTGTCGGGGAGAAGGACCATGGGCCGCATATTTTTCTGGTGCAGTTGAGGCGTGTGGAAAATGGGAGGCCGATGCCTGGCGTGGAGATGGGGGATGTGGGGTTGAAGATGGGGTGAGTAGTTGGGTTTCTTTGTGAGATTGTGTGAAATAAGGGGGTTATACTAACGAGATACTTGTGTAGGTACAATGAAGCAGACAACGGGTTTGCGTCGTTCAACCATGTTCGAATCCCCCGCTCGCATATGCTCATGGCTCATAGCCAGCTCGCGCGCGATGGTACGTTTACCAAGGATCCGCTGCGCGCAAAACTCTCTTATTCGGTCATGCTGCTTGTCCGTGGAAAGATGCCTGGCGCTTTTGCCGTACAACTTGCACAAGCACTGACAATCGCAACACGGTATTCTGTTGTGCGGCAACAGGGGCTCGGTCCTGCGGATGCACTGGACAGTGAAGCCACTATCATGCAATACAAACACCAACACTTCCGTTTGCTCAGTCTTACATCAAAAGCGTATGCCATGTTCTTTGCATCGCGCGCTTGTGAGGCTCAATATGACAAGCTGCGAGAGATGCAGGGGAGGAATGATCACTCTCTCCTGCCATCTGTACACGCACTGACTGCGGGTCTGAAAGCATACGTCACTTCGGAAGCGGCTGATGGCGCCGAAGATGCCCGCAAGATGTGTGGTGGGCATGGGTATATGGCTATCTCGGGTCTTCCAGATATCGTTGGCGCTCTTGCTGGGGGTGCCACATTCGAGGGCGAGAACTACGTGCTATGGCAGCAGGTTGGTCGGTATTTGCTCAAGCAGCTGGATCGCCTGCAAGACGGCGACACAATGGAGCTGCACACGCAGTACTTGGCTGATTTGGACGATCCCAATGTAGTCTGTGCGGCGCAGGGTGAACAATTCCTTATGCACGAGACTCAGCTTGCTGTGTTTCGTCATCGTGCACAGCGTCTGGCCACCAAGGCACGTGTGGCGATTCGAGCTTCGAGTAAGGCACCAGCAGAGGCTTGGAACGAACATATGATGCTGCTCATTTCGATGTCGCGGGCGCACATTGAGTACTTTACTCTGCGTTCCTTTGTCGATGCTATCTCACAGTTGCCTGATAGCACATCTGCAAGCCTCCGTAAGGTCTTGGAGCGTGTGTGTTCACTCTTTGCGCTCTCTACGATCATCAATCCGCGCTCTGTGGATGCATTGTCTTTCATCGTAACTTGCGATGGCCGGCCGCTGTATCTCTCACCCTCTCAACTCGATACCATCCGCTTACTTGTCGACGACCTGCTTGATCAGCTTCTACCCGAAGCCATTGCGCTCACAGACGCATGGGACTTTTCCGACGCCAGTCTGTGCAGTGCGATTGGGATGTATGACGGTGACGTATACGAGAACATTATGCGTTGGGTAAAGCAACTGCCGATCAATCAAAACGCGTGGGAAAACGGGGGTGTTCAGCAGGGCTGGAGGGAATGCGTCGATCCAATTTTAAAACGCACGGAAACCCGAGCGAAATTGTAGGCTTACAAGGCGGAGATGGAGTTTTTGTCTTCTGTGTTGACCACATACACAAGGAGCACTGTCTCCATGTCGTTGGAGTAAATAAAGTCCGAAATAGTTTGATCTAACCAAATGGGGTAAGCGGGGCACAATCATCATTCCTAAATCTATCAACATGAAGGGAATGAATGTAGGTACATATTATACCATATTATACATCGAATTCCAACAGAGAGTTAGGAATAATGACAGGCTGTTTTTGATATTGCTAGCCATCGTTGCTAGTCGTATGCAAGTGGCGTGTTTCCCCTCGGCTTTGAGTAGGCGGGACGCAATGCTTCATCAATGAATGCTTCCGGAATGAAATTGCGCATCTCACTTGCTGTTGCTCCCTAACTTCTTCCATTCCACATCTGACCAAAATGACGAAACTGGTCGTCTCTGAGCAAGAGATGGAGGAAAAGTTGCACTAATCAACCGTCCCATTCTAGATCTGCAAGACTCTCATGAGACTGTAACAATGTTACTTTTGCCCATACTGCTTGTACCGAGACACATGCAGTTCAAAGCGCATATGGCTATATTTGGAGCTTGTATACACGGTGCCCTTGGTCAGAGGGTATGAAAGTGGCTCCGTGCGTAGGAAAGACAGACAACAGTGAGATGTTTGCTTGATGAACAAGGTCGAATCAATGCATCACGCCCTTGGCTGGATCTGCCCACAATGCATGTAAAGTACTCAGCTCATGATGCAATGTTCGTATTGTAAAGTCGTTGGGAGCAAAGTCATGACGCTGGCGGCGTCACTAGTCCAGTGCACTTCTTGGTTTGGGTATCAGTATCCTCCTCAATCCGCCTCGTCTTTGCGCCAATTGCACCACCAGGGTGATTCCGCCTGAAAACAACCTTGGTATCCTCTTGGTGCATTGCCTCGGCGATTGTAAGTGCAAGCATATCGCCGACCGCAATTGTCACGGTTGTGCTGGTGGTTGGCGCACAAACGCCAAAAGACACTTCTTCTAGCTCGTGGATGGGCGCAGGTAGTAGTATCGAGCGCGGTCTGTTTCGAAGGAGTGGGCATTCCGAGGGCTTAGTATGTGATGTGATGGCGAGGATGGGTGTGTGGGAGGGTATGTGATCCAGAAGAGCGACCAGCTCCGCAGTCTTGCCAGAATAGGAGATGAACATGACGGCATCATTCTTATCACAAGTCAATTAGGCGGACGTTTTGGAGGAGGGGCCGCAACTTACCTTCCTGATGTCGCCGAGGTCTCCATGCAGCGCCTCAGCGGCATGCATGAAGGAACTCGCAATTCCTAGGCTCTTCATGGTTGCGACAATCTTGCGCCCCACAAGGCCGCTTTTCCCAACGCCGCAAACTATGAGTTTGCCTCCTGCCTCGCTGTTTCTGGTAATGATCTCGACGGCCTGAAGCAGGCCATGGCGGGCTACATGGTCTGACTGGTACAAGAAAGTGACTTGTGACAGCGCAGTAGCGGCGGTAGAAAGAACGTGGACGGCACGCGACAGAAGATGGGTTCCTTTGGGGTCGTCTGCCGACAGTGGCGGGGTCAGAGGTTGCGCGTCAGAGGGAGCGCGTTTGCGCTTTAGGGATACAGGAGAGGGGGAAGGAGAAGAAGCGGGAGAAGAAGCGGGAGAGGCAGAGGGAGAGGGAGAGGCAGAGGCAGAGGAGGAGAGTGGTGGGGTATCAGCGAGGGGCTCTGCCATGATGTCGTGAGGAATGCGGGATGTGGGCAGAGCCGCTGGCAGATGCAGGGTCACAGTATATCAAGACAGTCTGGCGATCTTTGCAACAGGTCTACACATATACGATCTGTCTTTTAGTCTGTCTCGGGCAGCACCGGAGACAGCGTCGCATTTAGTAGGCGTAATGCACCCGTCCAAAGAAGCGACGCGACGCGATGCCATGGCCTGGCATGCGCCGACTGATTTGCAATCCAGCCCACATCCCTGCATGACGCCGCACGGAAACATTGCCCTTTGGCTGGATAAGCATAGTGTTTGTCCGTCTTACCAGCATCAGGCCGGACTCCGGTTGCGATCCAGGTGTGGTGATGGTGAAAAATGCATTGCGACATTGACGCTAACCCACTGACTTGCATGTGCAAAGGGCCCGGCTCTAGGCCTCATCTAGCTACATCCGCTGCCATGATTCGAGCCCAACCGTCGTCGCACGTTTCTTGCACTACAGCCCTCGATCGTTGGCCACAATCATCCATGGGTGCTTGTGGGTAGCTACGTGCGCCACGAGCATCCGCCCTGCCCTGCGCCCTGTCCTGCTTTACCTTGGGGGCCCTGCGGATGCCGCCTCAATGAGCGCCGTTCGCCGAGCGCCCATACAGGTTAAACCCACCTCCCCGCCATCCAACTTGGCCATGCCCAATTCCTTCCTGTACAATGCCTGTGCCTGCTCGCTGCCCGTCAGGAGCACCATGAACCGGAGCTCTTCCATATCCATGCAAATCTCGCGACAGCACCTGATAAGCCATTTGCCCACTCCTTGCCCTTGGTGCTCGGGAATGAGGTATACATCGGTTAGGTAGGCGAGCGTTATGTAGTCGGTTATCATGCGGGCCATGCCGACGGGCGTTTTGACTCCATCCGAGACGACGAAGACGCCGAGCGTGAGGCTGTTATCGAGCAAGGTCGTCAGCTTTGCAGGCGGGAGAGGCTTTGCCCAAAACACGGCATCTGTCGCGTATGCCTCCTGGACAAAGCTATGAGGAAGAAGCGACCGGTCCGAGGAAACGAGGTAGGTTCGCGCCCCAATTGCACGTTCCCATTGGAATATTTTCTTGTCCATCTTGTCGATATGTGAGGCCAAACTTGCAACCACAGGTGAAGATGGGCGATCTCCCCCTCCTAATACTCCGAGGGAGGCTGAGTCATACTCTGCTCAACCTGCCAATATTTATACTTTGGCGATAGGTAGTCGTAGATTCACGCCCTAGACGCCATGTCACCACCTCATTTTAGGTCTGACCCAAGAAAATATCCAATGGCTATTCGTCCCGCTTTCAGCCGTGACTGTATAGTATGTCCGAGTGCCGAGTGTAGTTAGGAGATCGTCTCTCTGGGTACACTTTCCATCTCGAGGAGGGGCAGCAAGCTTTCAAATATTACATGCCTGTGTCGGCTCCCAATATAGGTCTGCCGTTCGGTTGTCAGAGTGAGAAATCGTTAGTAATTTTCGTGGAGTAGCTTGTGTGTTACCAAGAGACATTGTGGTAGCAAAGGATTCCTTCTTGAACTTCGCCGACAGGTACGTTGTACGCCCTCGTTGTGGCGTGCACGCGTGTTCACGTGGTCAGGCGCCGGCGCTAGGACATTCATTACGTTCGCACCTGCCATACCGTTGCCATGAACCTCTCCCCTCCATAGAAATTCATCGTTGTAACACTATTCGTTAGTGAGCGCATCACCAATTCAATCATCACTACTGAATGTGCCACAAGAGCTGCAGACTATGACTGAAGATCGCATGCGCCATCAGCACGTCCTGCCTTCCTCGGCTGCTAATCGATACGAGAGCATGCAGAGATCAGATAATGAAAGATCCACATCTACTTGAATCCAACCCGCTCTTAGTCCACCTACTAACGAATCTGATATTTGTCTGAATTTTATTAGCTTTACAAAGCAAGCATCGAGGCAAAGCCCAAGAGTCCAAGCGATAGTCCAGTAGACAGGGGATTGCAATCCTACCAAGCAGCTACGGAACGCTAGAGTGTGGCGTCATTCTGGGGCAACAGCACCTCATCATTCCTTTATCGTATATCACACTTTGTCACCCTCGCAACTAATCTATCTGCTAGCACCGTACGCAGCATCATCACCGCACCCACCGAAAAACAACAATTGATTTTCATTTTTGATTAATTTCTTTCATGATCTAGTATGATATCTATTATTTCATGTCGAAGCTGAACACAGCTTAGATGGAGATCCACCGACCCATCCAGGTGTCGACGATTTGCTTCGCCTCATCTACAAGACCCATATCCAACAGCAGCTGGGCAGTTCCACGCACAGCCGAGTCGAGAGCCGAAAAGATCCAAGCGTGCGTATAGCTTGTGTGCTCACCTAGAGGGCCACAGTCAGTCTATATCTTAAAGGCATCCCGATTCTACTTACCAACGAAAATGGACTTCAATTCAGTCTTGTAATAGGCGGGCAGAAAGAGATCTTGTTGACCAAGAGTAGGAGCAGCCCAGGCACCCGCCTGGTGCTCATCGGTTTCCCAGCACTGACGCTCGTACGCGCCAGTCCATTGTTCGTTAGCTACCTCACCGTGGATCTCAACCATGGCGCGTTGGACCAGAGCAACGTGATCCTCTTCGCTAAGTGCACCTACGGAGCGGGCCAGAGTACCAGAGACGTATGAGCCCAAGATGACACCAGGACCGGTCGAATTAATCTGATAAGAAGGGTAGCAGACACTGCCAATGCCCGAAATATCAACCGATCCGCATCCTCCAATAATTGGGGGCGAAAGCTTCTCCCAGAAACGTGTCTTGTAGTGCAGAGAAACCTTGCACGACTGCTGGTAGTTCATCTCGTTGATAGCACGAGACAAGAGAGATGAGTATTGGGGAAGATCCCAGATTCTGACCTTTGAGAAAGGAACAGCTACTACCGCGTAGTCATACTCTTCGCTCTCTGCCTTCATTGTAAAGGGGTCCTTGCGCCACTCAACAGAAATCTTGTCCGTCTCTTCATCGTACTTCAATCCGGTGACTTTGCGGCCGAGGGTCAAACGGTCCTTGACGTGCGGGTAAAAAGCGCGAGGAAGCGACTCTAGACCCTTATCGATGGTCCGCCACGTTGTTGCACCAAAATATGCGGTATCATATTCCCAGATGGGACCACTTGTACCACCAGTAATGTAGTCAACTACATCAGCACTCTGGTTAAGCGCATATCTGACATACGCGGCTTCTGACCAATGAAATAAACCCTTCTCAACGGCATGCTTATGGGCTTTGTAAACATTTGTGTGCATTTCACGCACAACATCTGGTGTGGTAGCCACGAATTTCTCCAACTCTTCAGTAGCGTGCTCAACAGCCTCCTCATCTGGGCCTTCGGGCTTTGGGAGACTGTATGCAGTGGCATTACTCTTGAGCATCGCAGCGCTGGGGATGCGTCCATTGGGAAGGCGGTAGCCATTCGAGTTACCCGGCACATTCGGGCTCGCCTGGATCCATGGAATGAAGTTGACAGCAAGCTCACTGGTAGGACCACCGTTCATTTGGGTCAGAACATCTCCAAGTTGGAAAACCATCTTGTGATCCTGAATATCCAGCGTCTCATTTGTTTCTGGATAGCGAGTTGATACTGGGAAGCGCATGGGACCCATCTCTTGGTACTGGTACTCGTCGGGTCTACTTCCGGCCAAATACTTTGTTCGAATACGGCCTCCAATGCGCTCGGAGGATTCGATAATGTGCCAATCATGGATGCCGACCGACTCGAGTAGATGACTTGTCATCAACCCCGACATGCCTCCACCAACAATGGCAATTCGCTTGCCCTTCTCCATCGCAACATAGGAAGCATTGTTCTGCTTGCTCTTCATGTAGGCTACACCATCGAACCAAGGTCCCATGGTGTCAGCCACCTCGGAAATATCCTCCCTCTTCCTTGGCTGATGCTTGACAGAGATCGGTGCTGAGCGTCCGATGAGTCTAGATCCCGAATACGCATGAAGACAACCGCCATGGACAGCATCCTCTGGTACAATCCACACAAAGCGTTCTGGGCGGGCCGATCGCTTGATGTAATGTGAGGCGACATCGTGATGTCTCTGTCCGTGGCTCTTCATTCCGCATTCGCCATAGACCAGGCGAACTTCACCCTCAAAATCGTCATCATTGAAGTCGACATGGATGTTATGTACCGAGTCCGAGTTAACCTCAAGGGGCTTGAAGAAAAGGATGTCTGAACGAGGGGCTACTGGGCTGGCAATGGCACCACCTGCCAAGGACAAGGCTGCCGAAGAGGCTGTGATGAGACCCTTCATTTTGGCGTTGAACGAGTATTGATGGAGAAGAAAGATACTCCACGGTAAAGGAAATATCCGACCTTCAAATACCTTTCCTTTGCTGATGCTACGGCAGGCTCGTCCGCACGGAATTACCCATGTTGAACATTCACGTTGGTCACCAATATCTTATCATTGTAGGGCGTATCGTATAGGGCGCGCCAACCCTCATCCGAAGATTAGTTCTGGCCGTTCACTGTATATTGCTGCAAAGAATGTCAACCGGCGCAGCTGCGATAAGGGCACCATGGCGTCGCCAGTCGTAAGATTTGACAAGTGGGCTTGCAGGATGGGGTTTCCCACACGTCAAGATTCCCGTTACAAGTTACTCGCTACATGGACTCGAAGCGAGATGCAGTAGTGTAACGTGTGGCAGGTATTAGTGTGGAGACGCATCTCGTGGATAGGATCGGCACTTGGGGCGGGAAAGCTCTTTACGCTCCGAGAGATAACGAATACCAACATCGGATCCATTCCGACGGAGATATGGGATCTTTGTGGGCCTTTGGATAGGCTTTTTTTTCTCTCAAAGAATTGCTCGTACAACCTCAAGATACGACATCGATTCATTGCAACGGTAGCGGCCGTCAAACAAAGACAGAATGCAGCAGAAAGATTGCGACATTGCATAACCGGATAGTGCATTGGTTAAACACCATGCTTACAGTATCTGACAGTAAGAATGCTGTCCGGATTCCGCAAATGCCATACTGTACCAACAGACTTAGTCTTACTCCGAGCGTTTGGTATGGTTGCGGGAGCACCGTCGAGCCCGTAGCCCGCGATTTGGATGACCCGGATGACTCGAGAGCCGCCAAACGACGGAAGTGACGTCTGTACGGAAATATTGTCAAAGGATTGCTGGGCGAGGCTTCGGCCGTCGAAAATGGAGTTGGATCCTACGGCAGCGAATCACGAACCGAACAGCAAGCCATGCTGATCCACAAGTGGATCCCGGAGATATCGATAGCCCATCTCGTGTGGTCTAGAGAAGTGTTTCTTATCTAAGATTCAGCGTCCTTTATCTCGGATTACGTTAGAGTCATGAACTGTTTTCCATTAGGCGTGATACACGCGCGGTACAAGGCGAGGTTTCTTGGCGCCCAGTTGGAGTGCATCTTCTACAATCATTCTTGTCATAGCCCGTCACACCTTACTCCACAAAAGAACGAATCGCAGTCTCCTTCCGTTTTAGGAGATATCTGTATACATATCTCCAGCTTTTCATTGCCCCACGCGTAGTGGTCCGAGGTCCAAAATAGCCCTGCTTATTCGATCGCCACCCAGCCATATTGCCCTGATGGGGGTCTCTCGGGCCTTGAGCCGACGGCGGACTGAAAACAATTACGAATGGAATGGACAGTATGTTTTTATGAGGGCGTGATACCAGCCAGGCAGCCAAGTATGGATTCTGATTACATTCCTTGCCGACGACGGCAACGAGGGTTATCTAGCATACGAAGACTCGCAGCTCTTGGAAGCCATGGCATTCGGTCGAATACGGACGTTAGCTCTAAATGGCGGTTGTAAGCAACATTGGTAAAATGATTGTCAATATGTATATAACTATAGGGTGGTAGTACATATCTCAAGTACCGTACAGCAATATTCCCTGCTACTCTATTCTACGAGCATCATATCCACCTTTTGATATACGAAAGAAATCATGGTATCCTTTCGCTCTATCTTTACTACCTTTTTGGTGGTAGCCGGTGCTGCCATTGCTACACCCTCACCCAAACTCGCCCAACAGCCCGTAGTCACCTACCTCGGCACCCAAGGACCAATCTTGTGTATGTAGCCACTATTGCTATACACACATATTCAAATACTAATTCACTCACAGCAAGCGGCGCATGGACTTCCAAGGGAATAGTATACACATCCGGCACCGTACCTTCTCTCAACGGCACAATTGTCCCCGGCGGCATCAAAGCCCAAACCGTATGTCCCAACCACTCTCCCGACTCTTTTTTCTATGCCTTCAACTCACACCAAGCTTCCCAATAGGCCCAAGTCATCAAGAACATTGCGGCTGTTCTTGAAGAAGCAGGTACATCATGGGACTACGTCATGAAGACTACTGTTTTTCTGGCCAACATGTCCGATTACACTGCTATGAATGAAGTTTATGCTGCTATGCTGCCTAGCCCGAAGCCTGCGCGTACGGCGGTCGAGGTGGGCAAGTTACCGGGGAACTTTTTGATTGAGGTGGAGGCTATTGCGGCGATTCCTGATTCATGATGGGAGGGTGGAAGAAGGTGTGGGGGAGTACTGGATATGAGGGTTTAGAACACACTATAATGTTAGATGTTTAGATGACTTGATGATTTCGGGCCATTATGCAATTGAGGTTTTGCTGTGGTGGTATATCGAGTGCTAATTTTAGCTGTGGGTAGCTGGGGGTATTTCCTTTTGCGGCTTGCGTTGTCACACTTTCTAATGTAGAAGCTTTCCCGGTATGTAGATTGGTCACAGGCGATTCAAAAAAAGTAGGTCCCTCTTCTTTTTTGGCTAAACTGTTTCATATGCGTGAGATTTCAGGGATATTTATCGTATTGTCTCAATTGTGCAATACCACTCACAGTGCGGGGAAGTCTCCGGGCCTATTTGCGCTGTCAGTAGCTAGCTAGCTAGATTGCCGCCAATGACGTTCACTACTGCGGGGTCGCACTACCCCAACTTAAGCAGTGTGTAACAAAAGACGCGCAACCAAAGAAGAGAAAAACAACCCGAGTAAACAACCCCGGAAAGCCTAGCAATTGCCAATGACCCGAGGACCCCTTGCGCAATGCCCGAACTATACGACCACGATGGCAAGCCCGTAAAGCACCATATGGCACGGGTAAACGGCATCCGGATACACTACATCACATCTGGATCCGGGCCGCCGTTACTGCTGCTTCACGGCACCCCGAAGACGCACTACTACTGGTATCGCATCCTGCCTCTGCTCACACCTCACTTTACGATTGTGGCGCCGGACCTCCGCGGTTTCGGCGCGACAGACAAGCCGCCGGCCAGCGAGGGCTACGATGGGCGCACAAACGCCAAAGACATGATCGGCATCATGGATGCACTGGAATTCAAGACGTTTGCCGTGCATGGCGAGGACCGCGGCGCTACCTACGCCTTCTGTCTCGCAGGCCTGTATCCCATGCGCGTGACGCACCTGTCGTTCTGCGAGATGCTACTGTCGTCGGCACTAACGCAGGCTTCTTTCTTCACCCGCGACAACATTGCTGCACAGTATAACCAGACTGGCGTGTGGAACTGGCATATCCCGTTTTTCTGGCTGCCGCACGTGCCCGAGATGCTGATTCAGGGGAAAGAAGAAGAGTTTTGGACGCATTTTATGAGGAGTGAGTGTTGTAATCCTTGTGCGTTGGATCAGGGGGCCGTAGATGAGTGGGTAAGATGTGCGAAGGCGCCGGGGGGTACGAGGGGGATACTAGAGAGTTATCGGAGTCATTGGGTGAATTTGGAGATTGAGGAGGAGATTTTGAGTAAGGGGAAGTTAAAGTGTAAGGTTATGACTGTTGGAGCGTTAGAGTAAGTTTTTTTTGAGAATGGGGGGGGGGGGGGGGCTGTGGCGTCTTTGTCATGATTTTGAAATGGGTTTGGATTGCTGATATTTGGGACTACTTCTAGGTTTTTTGGGCCACGTGTCGAACAGCAGATGAAGTCCGTGGCGGAAAAGGGTGAGATTGCTGAGATTTTCGAGTGTGGGCATTCGTTGGCGATTGAGCAGCCTGAGCGGTTGGCGAATCTTTTGATTAGGCTTGTTCATTGATGTTGGGCAGGCTGCAGAGAAGTTGGGTGGTAATGCTCGCTCGATCCAGAGTAAGTGTGTGAGTCAAGTTCAAATTTCAGCGTTATGAATGAGTTGTAGAGGAAGATATCAGCAGAGCCGCAAGGCTCCAACGTTGGCGAACTCTTATCAAGCCTTGTTTTTCCATATAGCTCTGGTTGAAGGGTAACTCGTGGATAGAAGCCCCACTTGCCATGCCAGTGACGTTGAAGGAAGAGTCATGTCTACTAATTACTAGAAATAAATATGGATATGTATGTGAAACCAGAGTCCAGGAAGAGTACCTGACCTGCTTGTAACGAATCAGGTGACTGTAAAGCAGCCATGGGCTAGTGAGTCACTAAGCTGGTAGTATGGTGTGTGAGACCCACCACCTCAAGGCATACACACATACACGCATGGGGTGGCGACATTGTAACAAGAGACCACATATCCCATATGCCATGAAAGAGATTACGAGAGGCGGGAGCCAAGCCGACATTTCAGCCGAATAGCGAGGTGGGCAGATGGAGCATGTAGATTGCAGCGATATTCGAGACATGCAGGGTGTCTTATCGATTGCTTAGCGCCGGGAGGACTTGGCATCCGGCAAACGTCACCTCGCAACCCGGGCCATGGTTCTCTCCTCTCCTCTTGTCCCCAATTGCGGCTCTTTGAAAGCAAATGTGTCGGTTGACCCCAGCAACACCTGAGCGCTGCCTGTCCACTCTCTCCGTACAAACATGTCCCGGTCACGTGAATCCTGATCGTGTGACGCGTTTCGTCACGTTCATGACCAGAGTGGTCACGTCTCAGCATGCCGCCTCGAAAGGGGCGTCCGCCATCTATTCGCTCGTGGTCCATCCACGGAATATGTTGGACGTCATTTGGGAAATACATATGGGCTGCTACTATATTCCCGTCGCCAAAAGCATGCGCGGAGCGACTTCGGACAGTGGCCTGTACAGGGGCTTGCTCAACCACTACGATGCTTCGTTTCTCTGAACGTCAGCATAGTACCATGGTACCCGCCATGTATACCTTTTGCAATGTTTATACACAATGCTGCTTGCGGCAACTTTGTCGCCGTAAACGAGCCATGCTGGATTTGCCCTTGTAGGCGGCCTGTAGGAACGAGGCTAATACCTGCAAGGTCTGGCCAAGCTGCAGTCAGATGGATGGCTGTGCCGTGCTTATTGGGTACCTGCGGCGTTTTGGCCTTTTCCGCCGGGTCGCCACATTGTGCTAAGACGATGGCCATCATTGTATTGAAGACTGTGACAGAACAGAACCACGGTTGTACCTGTGCGAAATCACACAACGTGTGTGCCCAGGTGAATATATCAAGGCCTGTCCCGTGGTTCAGGCGGCTTGGCAAGAGCTCTCCCCCCCTTGAATTGTTGCGCGAAATTAATGTTCATGTGGGCACGCTAACGTGGATCAAACTCCGGGCCTTCGGTCTTCTGCCACACAGGTCCTCGTATACCTCCATCTCTCTTGCATCTCCTCTCGACACTTGTTCCATCATCCACCCACACCACGGTACATGCTGCTTGTACATACCGTTGAACAGTTCTCTGTCGACGTCTCACGTGAAGCGGTTATCAACTTGCTCTCGCCCTGCTGCCTTCTGTTACATCTCCCGTAGCGTTCCTGGCATTAGCTCGCGCCTTCACCCTGGTTGCATACTACCCGTCTGGACCCCGCCTCACCCCACCTGAAAGCCTACCATCACCTTTGGTACCATCACCACCATACAAACATATCCCCCCTCTGGCTACCACCTTCGACAGCCATGGCGGAGTTTAGTGATATGCCAGCAGAGATACGCAACATGGTTTACGAGTCACTATTTTCCCCGTCGCAATCCCAAGACATCGTTGAGCAGCTCTGCAGCAATCGTAACGCATTCTCCCTCTTCACTGTTTCCAAGCAAATACACGACGAAACAACATCCTACTTTTATCAAAACAACAATATCAACATCCACACACCGTCGCAGCCAACTGAGACTGCTACTATTTTACCTCCCATTGCCGATAGGTATCTTCGGTTTCTCGGCCGCGTCAGGGTGCTGGCCACAATCGGCGCTGCAGAGTCAAGCACACACGCCAAAGTAGCCAACACCATCGCATCCCTAGCGACTATCGGTGCAAAGTTCGAACATGTCAACATTTTCATCAACTCCTCGCTCTCTCGGCTGGTTAATAAAATGGTCGATGATTCGATCCTGGACGACGATCATCCAATCACCGTTGCCTTGCAGAAGTTGCTCGACTCTGGAGTTGCTAAGGTTGTGCGTGTTTCTCTCCCTGGCGCTTGGTTAACGCCCAGTGTCGCCCAGCATCTCAAGAGCCAATATGGAGATCGCCTTCTCTTCATTAACCCAGATGGATCACCCTGTGATGTGGCATGTGTAGAGAAGTCAAAGACCGGTGTCCATATAACCAGACACATGGCTACACTAGGCCTTGACATGGAACATGCCTATTCTGACGACGACGGCGACGACGAAGACGACCAATCAACTCCTTCCTCGATCACATCGTCATTCGGCTCAGCGTTGGCAGATCTGGATACGTTCTCCGTCACAAGCTACGAGGCCAGCCCCGAAGATACTAAGAATGATGACTCAACGGGTGACTCTGCAAGTGGCGACTCTTTCTTTTCCGAAGCTGAACTAGAAGAGTGGGAAAACTCCGATGAAGATGATGTGCAAGAAGCATCGTCACAGCCCGAGGACGTTGAAATTGACGTTGAGGAGGAGCTTGACGAAGAGCTTGACGGCATGTCCGACGATGGCTTTGATACCGTCATGGGTAACATGGACGATATCTCGTACCTGGTCAATTTCGCACCGGAGTTGCTCCTGGCTCGACACACTTTCGATCACTAGATGTAAGTGTCGGCATGACTTGAAGTCGTACCGCACTTGCTCTAGAGATACCATATGTGACGGCTTTGTGTATTTTTCACGGTCACCATTGGTTACTTTCTTACTACGGTTCTTTTTTACTACGGACTCTATCTGGTGTTTAGAGCATTTTTGGGCATTTTCGGCGTCTGGTGATCCCACATTGCATACCCCAACGTCATCGGGTTCTTTTCTTTATTGGGCGTACTGGTAAACGCAACACAGCGTTCATGGCAGGCGGCAAAAGGATTCACGGGTCAAAATAGAGTCTGGGATATGTTGTTCTTGTAGATCGCCCTTGGGTAGGCGAACATTATCATCACTGGGAGTTGTTTTCATTTTTACAGCTATTGCTGGTAGCATTACGATACATGACACAGATTATTACATAGTTGAGAATAAATGAGGGGATACCAGACAAATACTGGTATTTTGTCCAATGCGTCCGGTTTCCTGTTAGGTTTGATTCAACTTAAGTGAGTGCATTTCTTCATTGGGCGTTATGTGGTATATGCATCATCAAAAAAGGTATCATGTTAAGAATAATCCGAGTTTCCATGTAGCGTTCACCGTATGTGTCAACATCGCACTCTGCTAATCACGTGACATTTATTGGAAACAATTCCCTACTATGACATCTTATTTTAGTACCTATACGTGCCATGCGAAGTCCATTAAGGCCACCATCATCCATCCTAAAAATACCCACCCACCATTGCATTTTGGACCCTCGACCTTGCTTACATCACCAAGTCTGAATCGCCCCAAGTTCCAGGCTTATTAACACCCCCCCCCCGGCAAGGCCAAAACAGGGCATTAAGCTTAGCATCCATGCCATTTTACCTGGCTTGCGTGTCTTCAGCAACATGACGGACGTATCCATTCTGGACAAAGTCTCAGGTTGCAAGAACGAAAGAAGAAGAAGAAGCACGGATCGTCGATTGGTTTGCTTCAAGGGCCGTTGCCAAGGCCTAAGCGACGTGTTCCGCGGCAAAAGGGAACTCGAACTGGCCCTTGGCGGGGGTTCTGGCTGTTGGGCTTCCCGGCTTAGCTTGCATGGGGGAGGGGAAGGTGATATGTAGGTAAGTGGGATCCATGTCGTGAACGCTTGGTGCCGGCTTGAGTGGATGGGAGGGAGTTTTCTTTTGAGATGAGTATCGCAGGTTTGCTGTGGGGAGGTCCTGTCAGATGAATATTCGATTGTTGGGGAAACTCTGGGATGAGAGTCTGATGGATTAGGCAATGTATTGGTGGGTTGCAATTGAGAGTTTTGTAGTACGGACTAGTTGTGCCTGTAGACAAGGTCAAAAGGCGCTTTGTTTTACTTGCAAGACTAATAGCGTGGAATAGATGGAAATTGTCGACACCGGTGTTTGGGAAGTGGTATACGATTGATTTGATCAGAAATATCGTTTGGATTCCCTAATATCGCCATTTCCAGTGGCTATGCTATACATCAGCCACACAAAGATGGCACAATAACAACAATGTTGCCGGAACAGTCAACCGCATGGACACGGAAAGAAAATCATGAATGGCAATGTTGAATCCGCTTCGCATTTTGCTGTTCCGTGCTTTTTCGCCACTATAGTCCGATGAGGTCTATTTTAGAATATGAGTACCCGTGGAGCTAGTCACCACAAGTTACCATTGTAGCGTCGGACAAGCTGCTTTGGCCAAGCGAGCCATTACTAGCCAAAGATGCCAACTACTCAACAAGTGTTAACAACAAAGGATAGCGTGACAGAAAACCCCCCGAGCTGGACCATACAAAGACATTGTAGGAGACTCGGCGCAGGATTAATATACTTATCAATCTCGGACGAAGAAAACATGGCTTATCAGGGGCCAAGGGTAGGAAGGATTTGTGGGGCGGTTGTTGAGTTGGGGAGGGGAGATTACTCCATCGGCCCAAGCGTCGCCGCAAATTGGACCCTTGGGGTCACCAACGTTGTCCACGTCCCCGGCCCACGCTGGAGTTGATTTAATCTGGATACTCTCATCCCCGTGCCGTGGCGGCATGAACAGTATGTCGAATGACGCCTACCCGACTACTTGCATCGGCTTGTCCGGCCACCCCCCTCCCCAGTCGAGTTGCATTCCCAGACGCTCGTGACAAACCAATGGCTGGCGTCGGACGGACTGATGATTCGCCACTAACGACTACTCTTGCTGGCACGTTATGTATGGATGTGGACTAGAAGGCGCCTGGAATCGGTGCAGATCGGAAAGGCTTAGGGTCCGTCTAGCTGCATCCTGCCCGTAAAAAGTCCAAGGTCCGCCAAGCGCAATCTCTCTGGTGATCCATGCCACCTCCTGCGCGCCTTGGCTTCGGCTGACGGCCTGCAGCGCCCTTCTTCTTTTTAAGCTGCGCTGATCCCCACGTCCTGCCACAGGACGCCACAACCCCCCTTTCGCCATCAAGACTCCTTTGCCCGTCCTGTGTCGCTCCTGCGCATCTTCCTCCCGCTTCTGGTCACAGGTCTACTCTGCCCGTCATGATGCTGCCTGCACTGGGCGGTCGGAGCCCGCTCTTCACGCTCTCTGTGAGCGCTGGCTGTGTCATGGTTTTTATCTTTGCCTTCATGGCCTGGCAGAGCCCGCCTCGCATGGTGTTTACTCACGGTACCGCTATGTGCGTTGTTTTCCCCATCGCGTGGCACATGGGATGAAAACACCCTGAAAGCTACTCTCCTTTTTTTTTCAGACGAAGCTAACAACCATCTTAACAGTGCCGCTGCAAACGCCCACTCTGATGTATCTATCAGTGAAGTCATACGGCTACTTTACAAGGACATCAAGACTGCGCCCACTGCGCCCTTTATTCGCGAACCAAACGGCACCCGCATTACTTTGCCACCCAACCCGCGCTACACGAAGAACTTGGGCAGTGATGTCCTAGTCCTGGACTTGGAAACAAGACCGCTACCCTCCACCGATGCATACCGCAAGGGCGAATACGACTGGAGAAACATCAACCACGTTTCTGGCGGTGTTTTCAACCACTACACATATGCATTAGTCCATGGCTATGACTACAAGTTTATCCACGCAAGCGAATTTGAAGACCGCCATGCTACTTGGATTAAGCCTTCTGCGCTCGCAAATCACATCAAGGACTACAAGTTCATTGTTTTCCTCGACGCCGATGCCGCATTCCGCTTCTTGCACGTCCCGATCGAGTGGATGCTCAACTACTGGGATATCCAGCCGCAGCACTCTTTTGTAATGGCAAAGGATCCCTGGACTGCCAAGGAACCACAATACAACTCTGATCGATTCAACCGCACCTACACCAACACTGGCTTCATGATTGTCCAAAACAACCCAGACACCATGCCAATCCTCAAGGCATGGCACGAGTGCCCTGATGACACGCGCTACGCAAACTGCTCGCAATGGAAACAGCCCCGCTTCCACGAACAATCTGCTTTTGGCGAATACATCCGCTACGACTATGAGGACAATATCAAGGAACTGGAATGCGCCGAAGCAAACGGTTTCCCCGGCGTAGAAATCAGCAACTGCCAGGGCAAGTTCATCCGCCACTACTGGTTCGACAAGAGCAACGTCAAGATTGATTTCCGCGAGAACATTATGAACGCCATTACTCTTCCGATACAAAAAGTCTTTGCAGAAAATGTCGGCGGCGTCATACAAGAGCAGAAAGAGAACGTAATATTGTCATAACATCATTCTAGCCTCTGAAGACAGAACGAAGACAACAGGAGAAGCAATGTTTAATGACATAGAAAGACGGGATTATCGCATAGCATAGCGTTGCATCAACGAGGCGTTTATTGGGAGCTCTGGGATTTACTTTTTTGGATTTGGGCTGGAGGAGGGGGGTTTGGAGTGGCTCTTCGTAATGCCAACCAGTGTTTCGACGTTTTTTTGCGCTTTTCCACCCCGGGTCTTCGGATGCGATGATACCCAGCAAAGTACGAAGTTTTGAAAACCACTAAACAACTATAATCAACTTACCACTTTTTTTTCTACATTTGACAGCTTCGCGCCTTTACCATCAAATTTCCTTACTTCTTCGCTACATATATTCCTTGTGGAAAGCCCAGCTCATCATCTGTATTGGTCTTACGCGTATTCAGGGTCCTGGGTCATATGACAGTGCCGTCGCATCCGGTCCCCCTAGTCACCTTCCCCTCTTAGCCCGAGTCCTCTACTGCTGTTCGCAGCTATCGCCAATCGACCGATCCCCACCAACAAAAAGACGAGTTTCCAATGGACATGTTACATATGCGCTGTAACAATCCGGGGATTGCATCAGGCCGCCCACACATTGTTTACCAACCACCCACTTTTCACCCGCCAAGAACCGCTAGAACTCGAGCTTACCGTCATTGATCGGCGAATGGCTGCCATGTGTCGTCCCCGTTGAGGTTACTATCAAAGGTCGGGAGTGGGAGGCTTGTTGATGCGGGCACCACTTCCCAAAAAGAAACATATGGGAAGGATGGGATTCTTGATTCTTTTATGTATGTGTATGCGCGTGGCGTGAAGGCTCGATCTGTTGAATGGGGACAAGTTTGGATTTCCTTTTTTTTGAATTAGTTTCCCAAGAGCGACGGCGGCGGCGCTCCGTATTTCTCTCCCAGCTGATTTGAGCTAGGGTGGAGGCTGAACTCTGGGTACGAAGTTTGGTCTTTCTCAGCTGGGTACTTCGTGATTACCACTTCAATCGTATACCAATCAAAATCGTATTCTTCCCGTCTTTTTTCCCCGTAAGCGAGATTGCATCTTACAGCAAAAAAGCGGGAGAGAGAGAGGAGAGATTGTTCAGAGCTGAATCTTGCCATGTTATAAAGTTTTCGAAAAGCCCGTTTTTGTGTGCCCAGCGTAGTCATCTTAGAAGTCATATTTGCGCTTACGATGTTTGCAGGGGTGGGTGGGGGCTGGGGTTGTTGAATACGAAAGTATATAGTCCCCCCTCCACCTCTCTCCAAGCCTCACGCTAGACTCAGCTT